CAAAGTCTCATTGACTACAAAGTATCATTGACTACAAAGTTTTATTGACTACTTTTTGTATCATTGACTACAGCACTTGGGTTCAAGCCAATGGGTCAGAAATCGCGCCCCAGTAAACGTGAGATTTTAGAAAAAATCCGCTGCCGAATTATGTGGCTGAGGGAGGGCGATGCAGCTTAAGCCTATAATTAAAACAAAAAAACTTAAAATTTTGAAAAAAAAAATTCAACGAGAACTGTGGAAATTTCTTTGATTTTCGCGAGTTTCAGTTCTTTTTTGACTGTAATTTTTGGTTTATTTTTGTTTAAATAATAGGCTTAAACTAAAACGCCTTGTTTCGATTTTAAACTGAGAAAGCGATTATTGGTACTAAAATTAAAGGCTCAGAATTTCAGAGAGAAAGGATCATTAGCTTAAGCACATGTAGTCAATGATACAAATGATACAAAAAGTAGTCAATGAAACTTTGCAGTCAATGATACATATAGTCAATGATAATTTGCCTAATTTCAATGTGTGGTGCGGTTGAGAATTCGAGTGTGGGCGGAGCTTACGCCAGGTATCGAAATTCTTAAAGGCGCATGTTTATTTTCGTAATTATTTGCTGTCTTATTTTTTCGATTTTTGGGCAATTTTCAAATGGTCTTATGCGATTTTTGTGACTTTTCGAATTTTTTGAAGAAAATTAAAAATCGAAAAAAATCTTAAGGAGTTCGACCTAAGCTCCGCTCAGACCCGAATTTTCGACGGCATAACGGATTAATTTCAGACCAGATTGATATTCAGTGAACAATTGTTTTCTTAAACTAACATATAATTCTGACGAGTCTTTTCTTTTTGAGCGAGAAGCACAGCCATCGGTCCGAGAAGCGAACCGATGAACGCTCCGGCTTGCATGCTTCTGACGGTGACGTGGATTGTATACTCATAAACTGGACGAGGAATCTCTGGGTCCACTTTCTCTTGCACAACGCCAGCGGTGTCTTTGAAAATGTTGTTAGAGGTCATCTGAAACCGGAAGCTCCAATCAGGTTCAAAAAATGCGAATTAGAATAAAAAGGCTTAAAACCATCTGAAGTAAATTAGTGTCAACAAGATCAGTTTTATTTGAGAAAAGTTCATAACCAACAACTAGACAAGTTACTACGAGCATGCAGAGAAGACGAATTTATTCAAACAAAAAAAGAAAAAAACTACAAAAACAGATATTATGTACAGAGACGAGCTACCAACGGCATCCGCTCATCAGTTTGCTGATCAGAAGAGACAAATCGAGTCCGACGACGAGTCCTGTGGATCCGGAGCTCAGAAGACCGACGGCGGCGGAGAAAACGGCGGTACGGTCTTGTCGAAGAGCGTCTTGGTTGAATCTCAGGCGATAGCACTTATCATACAACGAGATTGTGTTCATTTCGCGAACGCTCAAATAGGTCAGCACTGGTCCCATGATAGCACCGAGAACAGCTCCGTTCTGGCCGCCCGACACGAAGGAGTCGCTGGAAAATTAGAATTTTTTTGAAATTTTTCAAACTACAGTATACTTACATATAATTCTGCTTATTGTTTGCCTTTTGAGACACTAGAAGAGAGATTGGTCCCAAAATTGAGCCAATCAACGCTCCCGTCTGCATACTTCGGATGGTGACGTGGATTCCGAACTCTAGTTTTGGATTCGGCACCTGGAGCATCTCGAACTCGCTCTGACGGACGCCGGCGAAATTTTTGAACCAGTTGGCGCTCATCTGAATTTTTTAAATAGTTTTTTCTCAAATTTTCGCAATTTCAGAATTTTCCGAATTTCGGAATTTTTTTCCGAAAAACTCTGGAGCATTTTCAAACTTGAAGCAGAAATCCGACTTCACAAAATCAGAAAAAAAAAACGTTTAGAAAACGGAAAATTTTGAATTTCATTCCGCTCGAGATCCGCAAGAAAACCTATAATATACCGTAGTCCAGCGGAAGATCGGATTTTGAAAAGTTCTGCAGAAATTCCAAGGTCTTGAAACCATTTTTTCCTACAGAGAAGCCAATTAAAAATTAATAAAAAATATTTATTTTCTCGGCATGTAATCACCGTATTAGTATTCTCTGAGAATCCCGTTTTTTATTCTGTAATTCCGGTAAAGCGAAAGCTTGAGCTGTTAAAAAAGAAGTTAAAAAAACATAATACAAAGACAAAAGGATGCACGACTAGAATAATACATGATATCATTGTTTCGTTCCTGATTGTGTTCTACCAATTCCTAGTAACTACTGCAAATAGAAGAGACAAGTCGAGGCCGACGACGAGACCGATTTGACCATTCGACATGTAGCCAACGGCAGCGGAGGCGATGGCGATGTGGTCTTGCCAGAGTTGTGATTGATCGAATCTTGAAAAAATTGAGGATTTCAAAAGGGATACTGCTCTTGCTCCACTCACTTGCTCTTCACCAAATTTTGAAATTTCCTCACACGATTCATGTTCTTACACGTCGCCAGCGATATCACTGGACCCAGTGCAGCCCCGACCATCGCTCCGTGCAATCCTCCCATTCTGAAGGCGTCGCTAAAATTAAAATATTCTGAATTCTACGTCTTCTAGAGCCTTCTTACACCAAGTCTTTTTTATCTGTTCGATGCATGAGAAGTGCTGACACTGGACCTAGTACGGATCCGACCACTGCTGCAGTTTGGATACTCCGAATCGTCATATGGATACAAAACTGAGTTCCCGGTCTCGGAACCCAGTCATAGTAGTCGTCGATGGGTCGGCGCGTCTTTTTACGCACAAAGTCTCGCATCTTCTCGAAATAACTTGACCTGGAATTTTTTTTGATTTTTGGAAAATCAAAAATCTCACCTCGCATCCTCGTTCCCGCCGCTACTGACTCCCATTTATGGTAGAAACCTCAAGCTGGAAAATTTGATATTGGGAAGAAAATAACCGAATGGAAGAACAAAAAAGAAATCGAAGAAGGTTATCAACCTAGTTTCCAGTATAAAAAAAATCAGCTCAAAATTGCAATTTATTCCATACGTTTTTGATTTCTTGGGGGATTCAGAATATTAACAGCATATATTGGGAGTGACTTTAAAAGTGTAAAGGTAAGATTAAATTTTGATGAGACCATTGAAAATGCTGGAACTGTGACTGAGAAGAAAGAATCGGGAGAGATAATAATATTGGGAAGATCCATTGTGGGGAGTTATGAGTATGGATTAAAATTTTACAGATCAATAGTCGCATAGCTTAATGACCAGCCACAGAAGCCGACGAAGAGCTTGGTGTGGATGGAGGTGGATTATCAGTCATCTCGTTGATTCCGATTTGCTTGAATCGAGTCAGATCGAACGTGAGGACGCCGGAAGTGGTACAGGCGGCCGGGTATGGGAAGATCCCGATGAGAGAGTCGGCCTTGTTGTAGAATTCTTCTTTCAAGGAGATCACAATGATTTGCATATGATCACGAGCATATTCGCAGATGTAGGAAGCCACCTGGAAATGGGGAATTGGAGAATGATGGATTTTTTTAAAGATTTTAAAAATTAAAAACACTGTCGAAGAAGGATTTTGCCATGCGCCTTTGAAAATACAGTACCCTTTCAGTTTTATTGTTTTTTTTTTGAAATTTTGATTTTCAATTGCGAAAATTTCTTCGAAACCCTTCCGAAAAAACGAACTTGCGGGAAGTATTGGAATTAAAAAATATGCCAATTTGAACACTCAAATGATCTCTCTTCTTCGGATTTTACGAAAAAGTTGTCCACTATAAAATCATAGCTCTGTTTTGTTTAGTATACTCTGACAAATCCAAAAATTTTGGACTACTTTTTTAGGGTTGCAACTTTTTACTGCAAAAAACCAAAAATTTTGATGCAAAATGTGAATCGCAGAATGTGAAAGTTTCAATTTTCCAAAAAGATGGAAAAATAAGATTATCGTCTCCGAACTCCGTAAACTATGTCTATTCTCTCACCTTTCCAATGTTGGTATTATCCAACGCAGCGTCGATCTCGTCCAACACAAAAAACGGCGCCGGATTACGTCCGTGCACAGCAAAGAGCAGTGCGAGTGCGGCAATAGTCTTCTCTCCTCCCGATAAGTTATCCATCGGACGGAATCGCTTTCCAGGTGCAACACAATTGTATTGGATACCGTCTAGATAGGGCTCTTCCATGTTTTCAGCACCGAGGAATGCCTGAGCCGAGGTGTTACGAGACAGATGCTTGTAGATGTCATCGATGTTGTTGGAGACAGGTTCGAAGAAGTCTTGGAAGCGACGGTAACGCTCGGTTTTGACCTGAAAAGTGGGATTATATGCTGAGATATTGAGAATCAATTGAAAGGTGATAGTCATCACTGATAGGTGAGGGCACAGTGTTTTTTTTCCAGCTAGGTATGCAAATGCACTTTAATGAGAGGTGACGTGGCAAAATTTTAGGCCCGTGAAAAATTAATTTTGAGGTGGAAAATCCCCCTAAAAATTTTGAGAAAATTGAATTTTCAAATGCCTAAAACTTAACCACGTCTTTTTCTCATTAAAGCGCAACAAAATACCTCACTGAAAAAAACCCTGTGTGAGGGAAGGGGAGGAGAGACAGGGCAAGAGAAAATGGGATGATTCTAGTTGTCACGTTGTTGTTGTAAATGTCTCTGCATCTCTTTCTCTCTCTCTCCCTCGGTTGTTTTCAAATAATGAAAAAGAACTTGAGGAAAGGGCAAATATTGATCTAGTTTTTGAAACTTGAAGGTGAAAAAAAAATCAAAAAATTCCTTGAATGTTTTTTTCTGATTTTTTCAGGGATTTTGAGATATTTTGAGAGACAAATTGCGAAAAAACTTCAAAATCATGAAAAAAATTCAGGTACAAAATTCCACCGTACACCACCTACAGTAAATATATAATAGGTACAGTAAGAGAAAAAACATACTCTTTCGAATTTCTGTCGAATCGCCTTGGCTTTCCTTCTCGCTGCTTCCAATTGATCCGACGACTCTGCTTCTCGCTCTCTGACCTCTGCCATCCGCTGGTTGGCTCTCAAATTCGGCGCATTCATCTTTGACACATTCTTCTGCAACTCTTCGATTTCCACATTGAGTCGATTCGTCGCTTGTCGAACGCCATCGTCATCATCGATCTGGAATGCAAATTGTGAATTCAAATTGTGGGAAAATGGAAAATATAGGGGGTGGAAGGCAGCAATGCACAATACCTCTTTGTAGTCATGTGGCAACGAGTCATAGTTGATTTTGATGTGCTGCTCTCGTTGAATCTGCTCATCGGACACACTTGGTCTATCAGCAGCACCGTCAGTTTGAGAATCAGAATCAGACATATCATCTGGAGCTTTTGGAACAAAAATAGAAACGATTCTATTCGGAATCTCCACTTACCACCATCGTCCTCATACTCGACATCAGCCATACTTCCAGATTTCAAAGGCAACGCCAGCTGTCCCAGTTTGACAGAATGAAGCAGCGAGTGCCTCTCATATTGCTTCTTCTTCATTAGACTTTCCACGGCTACCAACGTCTTCTCAGCCTTTGTATACTCTTTCAGCGATGACTGTGATGCCTTTTTAGCTTCATTCCATTCTGCCTCGAGCTTCGCGGCCAACGCTTTTTTCTCCTCTAATACCGCCTTCACTTCCTCGGTCGCTGCGATGTGTTGCTCCTCGGCGTTTTTGGCGGCTTTCTCCTTTGATTTCATTTCCTTATATGTTGCATCAATTTTAGCGACCTGTAATAACGCAAACGATAAGAAAACTCTCTATTCAAAATCACTGAAAAACCACACCTTCTTCTTTTCATCGGCAACTTTTTTGTTGCCATCTTGTTCGGTCAGGAAGTCAATTTCATAGTTCAACTTCTCGAGCTCGTCGTCAAATGATCGAATCTTATCTCGAATCTCCTGCTGGATACGCAATTCGCGGTTCTCGTAGTCTCGAATGGATTCAATACCAAGGCGTTGGCAAAAACCGGCAAATTTCTCATCAGCCACTTTGTTACTCGCAGTTTCCAAATTTTGAACAACCGCTTGGCTTTCCTGGACCTTTTCTTGCCAGCGCTCGATTTTCGGCTAGAATAATGAATAATAAATGAAGATAAATATTAATAATAAACGTACCGGAATCTGTTCCTCTTCAGCATTCAACCCTTCCAACTCATTCTGAAGTCTCATCAGATGATTCTGCTGAAGAGACTTCAACTCATTCTTCCACATAATCAATCTTTGTTCGATGCTAGCAATCTTTCCTCTTTCAGCTTCAACTTCAATTTCACGACGGCGATGCTTCTGGAGATCGGCGATCTTTTCGTTCAAATTGTCGCGTTTCTCGCGGAGCTGCTTGACCACTTTCTCATCCCACTTCTTGGCTTTTTGACGAAGATCCGCAGATCCTCCGGATAGAACACCAGACTGTTGGAAGAGGGTTCCGTCCATGGAAACGGCCTTGTAACGATCCTTCAGCTCAGTTCCACCATATGCCAGTGCTTTGGCATCATCCTGATTTTCACAAACCAACGAGTTTCCACAAACGAATTGCAGTGCTTTTCGAGCGTTTTGATTTTGGACATTGATCACATCGAAGACGAGTTTCACACCGACTGGACGACGAATTTCGCGAAGCTTCTCGTTGATTGGGTTGACGACAAGAGCGTCATTGGGAAGGAAGGTTTCTGTGGCAAAACGATTCGTCTGGAAAATGACAACGCGAATTGAAGTATATCAAAAATTAAAACTCACCTTCAAGAACTCAATAGCTTTATGAGCAGTCTCCTCGGTATCACAGACAATACTGTTCATATGCTTTTGAAGAATCTTGGTAGTTGCAATATTGAATCTTTTATGCGATGGCTGACACAAATCGACGAGTCTTCCATACACAGCTTCTGGAAACGCCGACTTCAAACTTGTTATCGCTTCCACACGTCGTTGATTTCTCTCTCCTTCTGCAGAGTCACCGGATGCATCTGAGAGTTGACGGTTAACAGCAATCAATTCCTTGCTGAGATCTCCCATAGCCGATTTGTCAATGACCACCGAGTCCTCCAACTTCTTCAGAGCCTTCACCAAAGCTTTATGCTCTTCTTCGGTCTCCGCGATTTTCGTGCTGAGTGCCGCGATTTGTCTCTCGAGTCTCTGGACATCTGCTTCCTTCTGTCTAACTCTTTCCTGCATTTCCTTCTGCTTCCGAAGTTCGTGGTTCAAGCAACTTTTGTGTCCTTCCAACACTTGTACAGCAGTCAAAAGATTTCTTTGAATCAGCGCCGACTCTTGATCAGCAAGATTTCTGAGCTCTTGATATTCGTTACGCTGCTCTTCGGATAAATTCAAGTCTCCTCCGTCCATCATTCCCTGAACTTCAGCTTCATAAGCAACTTTTTGTCCTTCCATATCAGCCTTCCTCTTTTTGAGATCTGCCAACTGAGCTGCACTATTTTCAGCCAATGCCTCTGCGGCAGACAATGCTTTATTCGCGGACTCCAACTTTTTGAATTCATGAGCCACTGCCACCTTCAAAGAGAGCCTTTCCTGCTGCTTTTGTGCTAGAGCTGACTCTTGACTATCCAGCTTTCGATTGAGTTTTTGAACTTCTCTCTGCACTTTCTTGTGTTCGGTATGAACTGCTTGAATCTTCAACTCTTCTGCAGTCTTTGTGGTTTCCAATGCGGCAATGATCTTTTTCTGCTCGTTGATCTTCTCTTTAGACTCGTCGATCAATCGCTCACAATGGAATAGTTGATGAAGATAGAGCATAGTTGATTTGGCAGCCAACTCATTCTTCATCGTTTGATACTTTTCAGCCTCATCCTTCTCCATCTTGGCTTCTCTCTTCTCCTGAGCAATTCCTCTACGTTTGTTCATATTGTGTTGAGTATCATCTTCGGCCTTCGTCATTTCATTCTTCAACTTTTCATACTCGTTCTGGAATTCGTAGGAGCGAGAGAGCTCCTCGAAAAGTTGAGTTCGCTCTTTTGGATTCTTCATAGCGATGCTCTCAATGGCTCCTTGATAAACTAGGAAATTTCTGGCTTTGATGAAAATCTGGATACTCTCCATCTCAGCAGCATACGCTTCTTTGGTAACTAGCTGTCCGTCGAGGTAGTTTTCAGAAGTTCCGTTATTAACACCTCTGGCAAAAGCTTTTATCGTTCCGTCCGCATATTTGTAATTCATTGTAACGCGGCATTTCTTTCCAACTGGTCTGTTAATCGGAGCTCCATGAATGAGATCCTGAACAAAAATCTATATTAATCTTTCAAAAATCAGATTTCTTACAGTATATTTCTTGACACGCAAACTGGTTGGCCGTTCTCCGAGAACAAAGGAAATTGCATCCATCAAATTCGATTTTCCAGATCCATTCGGTCCAATAATAGCAGTAAATCTGCTGAATGGGCCGATAATATGCTTTCCTTTGTAAGATTTGAAATTCTCGATTTCCAAAGTGTGAAGATGGCCTTTTCCGGGTAAACTGTCTACGGTAGAGGTGAGACCATTACTGGTAGTTCCGGTACCGCCGGAGCTACCTCCACGCATTCTAGGTGCTGAAAACTGGGCTTGAGCATGAAAAATAAAGACTGAACATTAAAAAAAATAGATATCATGGTGACAAAACCACTGTTTTCCAGAAAATAAAGAATAAATTATATGAAATGTACAAGAACTTTATGAAAAATCGACAGTTTTGAGACCGGTATTGAGAAATAGTTGTCATAATGCATTTTCCCGATTGCTTGGTGATCCTTGTGTTGAGCCATCGACGCGTCGAAGGAAATTAACAAGGTTGATTGGAGAAACGCCCATCGCAAGTAACTGGAATGATATATTTTACAGCTTATACCAGATGTTCGTAATTTTCAGTTTCTTTTGTTTTTTGCAAAGATTTTTGGAATTTTCGAATAAATTTGAATTAGTTTGTGAATTATTCGATAAGAGGAAAACCTCACTTTTTCCACTGCCACTATTTGATCAATTGTCAAAAAAACATTGAGAAACTTTGCCACTTCCATTGCTTCTGCAATTTTTCGAAGTAAAAATTTGAATTCAGTTTAAAAACAAAGCTAAACCAACTTACGTTGTGTATCCTTCTTCAGCTCGCTCATCCTCGCCGAATTTTGAGTTTTCGAAGCGATGAGTGTGTTTCTAAAACAATCAAAACGATTTTAATTGATTTTATATAAGAAACTATGTGGAAATATCAATTTTAAGCTTGAAATCAACCATTATTGAGAAGCCGACACCAAGAAAATTTCAAAATTAAAACTCGCTGAACAACGCGCGCATGTTATAGCGGAGCGTCGTTGTTTTCTTCTATTAGTGGGAAGCAGACATGAGCGGAATAAAATTTTTGAAAATCCGGAAGAAGGAATAAGGAATAAGGAACAAAAATTGAAAATCAGGAACAAGGAATAAGGAATAAGGAATAAAAATTAAAAAATCCGAAAAAAGGAATAAGAAATAAAGAATAGAAAAAACACCCGGAATAAGGAAGAAGGAATAAGGAATACGGAACAAAATTTCGAAAAAAGCCGAATGTGTTTTGAAATTTTTTGACAAAACGTATAAAAGAGGAATTTAGGCTTCATTAACGACTTTTTAAGTGGTAGTTTAGGTTTAGAAAGCGTTTTTTCTAATTTTAAATTTCAAATTTTTAATTGTTCGAATTACCCGGAAGAATAAGAAAAAATCAGGAATAAGGAATAAAAATTGAAAAACCCGGAAGAAGGAATAAGGAATAAGGAATAGAAAAAACACCCGGAATAAGGAAGAAGGAATAAGGAATTAGGAATTCCACTCATGTCTGGTGGGAAGAGACCCCGGAAATTCCGGGGAAAAAAAACTCCGGAGAAAAGTGGGCGGAGTCGGGGGCGGA